AGAAAAATTGTGTGAGAGGGAGAAGCCAATAAGGATGTCAAATACAATTGTGTGTGAAGGAGATACAATTAAAAAAAAAAAAGTTAATAGGGGCAACCAGGCCAGCAGGGGAGGGCAGTTAGGGGTGACCAAGCCAGCAGGGGAGAGGAGTTAGGGGGATCAGGCAGGCAAACAGAATAGTTAGGGCAGGCAGGCAAGTAGGCTGTTAGGAGCCAGAGGTCATGGATTGTGAGAGGGATGTCCAACTGTCAATTTAGGGGGATTGGGCCTAAACTGGCAGTTGGACATCCCCCGAGGGCTCCCTGTTTGGAGCAGGTCAGGTCAGGCTGAGAGACCCCTTCCCTGTGCACAAATTTCATGCACTGGGCCTCTAGTTTTATATAATTCCAGACTCAAACATTGTTATTTATTTGGGATCTCAGAACCAAGAACAGAACAAGCCAGGATATGCTGTATAACCACACTCTTTCTATCCTATTATAATAGTTACTAGAGGCCCGGTGCAAGAAAATTCATGCATTTGGGGAGTCCCTCAGCCCGGCCTGCACCCTCTCATAGTCTGGGACCCTTGGGGAATGTCCACCTGCTGGCTTAGGCCCATTCCCTGGGGATCGGGCCTAAGCTGGCAGTCAAACATCCCTCTGGAAGCCCAGGAGCCCTCAGGGGATGTCCACCTGCTGGCTTAGGAGCCATCAGTCTGGCTTGTGACTGAGCAGAGCTCCCCCTGTGGGAGCACACTGACCACCATGGGGAAGCTCCTGTGTTGACCATCTGACCCCTGGTAGTCAGTGCACATCATAGCGATTGGTTGTTCTGCCATTAGGTCAATTTGCATATTACCCTTTTATTTTATAGCACAGTTTTAAATTTGTTAGCAAATAAAAAAAGGATAATTTAGGGACTGATTTACAGAGAATATTGATATCTCTCACTTTCATTTCCCTACTGCTGAAATATTATTGTTTGGGGCTCTAAGTCAAAGAGACAAGTCAGCACACTGATCTGATGAAAACCTGTGCCCACTGCACATAAAATAAATAAACAATGTTTATTTGTGTGTGTGTGTGTGTATGTTTGTGTGTGTGTGTGTTTAAACACCCAAACCCTAAAATCAACCATTTAAGAGCTTATCTTGCAAACCTAAAAATATAAAGTGATGATGGTATTATTATAGACTAGAGGTCCAGTGCACAAAATTCATGCACTTGGGAGGGGGTCCCTCAGCCTGTCCTGCACCCTCTCGCAGTCCAGGAGCCCTTGGGGGATGCGGGCCTAAGCCGGCAGTTGGATATCCTTAGTGCTCCCACTGAGAAAGGAGAGGCTTCTGCCACTGCGGCTGTGCTTGCCAGCTGTGAGCTGGGCTTCTGGCTCAGTGGCGCTCCCCCTGTTGGAATGCACTAACCACTAGGGGGCAGCTCCTGCGTTGAGCATCTGCCCTCTGGTGGTCAGTGCGTGTCATAGCAACTGGTTGTTCTGCCATTCAGTCAATTTGCATATTAGCCTGTTATTATATAGGATTGCTTATAAACTTGAAAGAATTCTCTTAAGTGTGAAGCCTTGTGTTTGTTTTGACAAATATAGAGAGCTGATAATTTCTTCTCACTAACCCATTTTATTCCTAAAGAAATGTATTTGTCCAAGAAATGATTCCCAATAAACCACACACACGTTAGAGTGCTTTAGAATTGCCTGAGGATATTTTTTAAAGTATAGATTCTTATACCCCACTCTCAAAGATTCTACTACAATAAGTGTGAGATTTTTATGAAAATAGCCCAGAAATTGCATTTTGAAATCACTGAGTATGTCTGCATGTTTATTCAATCTCTGTCATGGTAAATAGCTCAAAGTTATAGCTCTAAATGAAATCAATGAGTATGAGAAGCCTTAATTTACCAATGGAATAAAAACACACAACTCAGTCAAATGTTAGAAACTCAGTTAAATGTGTGTAGGACCTGAGATTTTCCCTAATTGTAAGCTAAAAAATTGGCCTGCCATAATTTCATGGATGTTGGCAGAAGACATTAATGATCTGGGATAGAGACAAAGCACTTTATTACTCACTATACAGCAAGCAGCATGAGCTTCATGTTCATGCCAGTTCTCCTTGTCCACACCAAATCTCACAGGGATGACAAGGAACACACAGGTAGATGCTGCATATGTAGGAAACCCCAAACCTTTATAAAGGGCTGCACAAAAATCTGCCCAAACCTTGCCCTGTAGGGAGATACTATTCTGAATGTCAAATAAACCTTCACTTGATTCCTGTTTGGAGGGAGGTGCTATCACTATCTTCCAAGTCTGTTTATTCTGTAAATGTCCTTGAAAAGATTACTCTGGAGCAAAGCTTTCATTGTATTAGCTTCCAAGACTTGCACAAACATGACAGGCCCATGAAGAATTCTCTCAACAATGAATTTTCCATTTTAATTGGATATTTTACAAGAGATAATCACAGGGACATCACTATCCCATTTCATTTCCAATGGGACTTGCTCATTTATGCCTCTTTCTCAAAGATAGATGTGAAGATTCCTCACCATTACCTCACTAGGGTTCCTGAATATTACAGGAGAGTGTCCACATGGTGTAGTTCCACAAGTAAAAAACAAACTACAGTCGTGCACCATGAGGGTGGGTAATTGTGGCTTTCGGTTTATTTCCATTCAATCCTGGCTCTTCAATATGCAGCTCAACTTCTCTCCTTTTAGATAACTTTCCAAAGTATGTGTGGAATCTATAGTTAGTGAGGTAAAACCCTCTGGTCCCCCCCTGCCCCAGTTTTCTCATCCCTATCACGACCTTTTAATCCCTTCTTTAAAAATAAAAGAAAATCCAATTACCTCATCCCCACACAATAAAATTTTACTGTAGAAATTCAAGACCCTTAAACACAAGCCAGATACATAAGAAAATTCTTCTCAACTTCTCTAAAACTAGGAGACTTAAATCTCCCAACCTCTATACATTTATTTTCTTTTATGACTCTAGTACTACAAAGTTGTGGAGAGAAAAAAACCCCTCATATTTATATCTTTCCATCAAAACCACCTAAATAGTGATATTCTGGCACAAATATATAACATTTAATAGTTTTTAATTTTTTTGCGTAAGACACTTGGTTTAATCCAAAGCCAAAAATTAAAAAGATGAGCTCAGAAAATGCTGAAAAGTTAATACCTAGTACTGACTATATTCTTGCTTGACTTATTACATGCTTCATTCATCACAGAATCTTTCCTTTGTGAATGGTTAGAATTTTTATTTATTGGGATCTTTCATTGCATGGATCTTATTAGTGGTGAGCTTAAATTTTATATTTAGAGCACTCATAGTAAAAGGCACTATGTTAAACAACATGGTGTTTAAAACTTCCTGACCTCAAAAGGTTATAGCCTATTAGAGAAAAACTGTTTTACATAAAAATTGTAAGGAAAAGTAAAAAGTGATGCCTCATTAGAGAGTGTATTCCTGCTGGTGTTGTAACAAATTACTACAATGTAGGGTTGTAAAATAAGACACATTTACTCTCTTTCAGTTATGCAGGTCAAAAAATCTAAAATTAGTTGCAGAGCACTCATAGTAAAAGGCACTATGTTAAACAACATGGTGTTTAAAACTTCCTGACCTCAAAAGGTTATAGCCTATTAGAGAAAAACTGTTTTACATAAAAATTATAAGGAAAAGTAAAAAGTGATGCCTCATTAGAGAGTGTATTCCTGCTGGTGTTGTTACATATTACTACAACATAGGGCTGTAAAATAAGACACATTTACTCTCTTTCAGTTATGCAGGTCAAAAATCTAAAATTAGTTGCATTGGGCTAACCTCAAGCTGCTAATAGAATTTCTCTTTCCTCTGGAGTCTCTAAGGATAATACATTTCTTGTATCTTTTACTCCTAGGGGCTGCCTACACTCTTTGTCTAGTAGCCTCTTCTTTTGGTATTTGCATTATCTCAACTTCTGCTGCTATTGTGACATCTTCTCTGACTGGATCTCCTGCTTCCATGTGTTGCCTTATAAGGACACTTGTGATTATATTGGGCTCCGGCAAATAATCTAGGACGATCTCCCCATCTCAGGTTACTTAACTTAATAACATCAGCCAAGTCCCGTTTGTCATATGGGATAATATATTTACTGGTTATAAGGATTAATATATAGATCTATTTGGTGGATCATTATTCTACTTAACACCTCTAGAGAGGCACATATTTTTGTAATTATTAAGAATAAAAAGTCTATACTTTTAATTACATACTTGGTTTGATATCTGGTGAAAAGTTTATTATTTTATATCTGATATGGGGAAATTATTTGTTTATTAATTTCCCCTCTAAAATGATATTATAACTGAACTAGGCCATTCAGAAAGAGAATAGGGGAGAGTGAGTGGGAGAGAGACAGAGACAGAAAAAGAGAGAAATCTGTTCTTTCTCATACCCTGTCATGAAGGTGAATTGCTAATCCACATAAAAGGCAACTCCCTCAACATTTTTAAATATTATAGTGAAAAAAATCTGTTAATGAAACAGTAGTTGACCTTAAAGTAGTCCAATATAACAGCTTCTGAACCTGCTAACTACTTATTGATTTATTTAGCTTGTTTGCCAATATTTTGTGCACAAGTTCAATATCCAAAGCTTAAGTGTGATGACTATAGACCATTCCTAAACCTGATAAAAATTTCAAAGGAAGAAAGAAGCCGGTGAGCTTCCTATAATAATATGGTAATATTTTGACAGTACTGTCTGCCCTGAATCAAAAGACAGGAAAGAGCATACCCTTGAAGCTTCACTCTGATATCACTATGTGATTCAAAGCAATCTTAATGAATATTCATGTTTTCTAGTGTCTGAGATGCTGTTATGAACCCATCAGTTATTAAGTAGTGACAACACAATGTTGTTTTGATGATTCTTATTTTATTATTCTTATCAACTGTTGTAATGTAGACTTGAGCATCAAAAATATATCTTCTAACTAAATCTGATTTATTATTTTAGTGACGTTGTAAAATAACATGTAATTCACAAAAATATAAGAAAAATATAAGGAATGTGTCACAACAAAGTACATATCCTTTCCAGCTTTAAAAACGTATTAAATTCTGCTTCCCACAAAAAAAGAATGGAATAATAGAGATGGGATTTATCGTAATACCTGAAGCAGCCAAAAAAACAAACAAACAAACAAAAAAAACACCCAGAAAATATTTAAAACAACTGTTTTTAAAACATCAGTCAATGAAGGACAGTGATTACTTGAGCTTTATTTTACTGAGACTGGTTTTTAACTGAACACAGGTTCAGCTGCCGGCCACAACAAAAGCCAAACTCATGAGATAGGTGCTTGTACAAAGGAAAGCAATTTATTCAAGTGCCGGCCACCAGAGAAGAAGGGGGATTCTCATCCCAAAGCCCATCTTAATGCCTCAGTGCAGGCAAGGTTTCTTATAGGGAGGTAGAGGGAATGCAGAACAAAGTGATCGGGGGGAGTGGTTGAGGACATGCAGACAGTGTCCTTGCTGGTCCCTATATGAATCTTTAAGGTCAAATTTCTGCAGCTGGGCGATCTGTGTCAGCCAGTCTTATGGTCAAGGCCATTCCTTGTACAAACTAGAACTGAAACTGCTATACCTATAACATGTTCACAAGTAAACTGTCGGTATGTGAGTTCTTTTTATAAGTTTGTTAGTACATTTTATCCTAATTCTATTTTATGATTAGTCAAAGTAGTATGAAGTTTTTATTTCCTATTACATGATTTCAGGTCACAATCCAGAGAGGGGTTATTAAGGCAGAGCTTGAAAAATTACTTGAGGTGATGTGAAAGTGCAGGGAGATCAAGGTGGTTCAAATTTGAAAAACAGTACAAACAAGAAAGAGCTATACAGAGAGAGAATTTCAGAGATCTACAGAAGACCATTCTTAAGTATTCCACCCAGTATTGTGAAGAAATTACCTGAGGCTGAGGAAAGAAGCACACAAAGTGATTAAAAGTAACATTTTCTGATGCTCTTAAAGGGATTAGTGCTTACTTCCGCCAGGAATACTGGAAAGTTTTATAATTCCGGGAAGATTGAGTAGGGCACATAAAAGAGTAATCTATCAGTAGAGGGGAATAATTAGTCCTAATCTGAGCACTATTCCAGTCCCATCTAACAAGTATTAAAAGCTAGAATGAAAGGATCATTTGCAGAAAGCCAACTTCTCCCAGAACAGAGCTTAAAATATTTATAAGAATATAAAATAACCACCATTACCCCAAAGTAAAATATTCACCATTATAAAAAGTAAAACTCTTAAAATATTTATAGATATGTAAAATATCTACCACCCAAAAAAATAAAAGACATGGTAGCCAATAAAAAATTAATAGACATGTGCAGAAGCAATCAATAGAATTCAATAAAAAAATCATTAGACATGTGAAGAAGCAATCAATTGAAATAGACCCAGTTGTTAGATTTAGCTAGAAATTAAAAGTTATAACTATTCCATATGTTCAAAAATTTAAGTAGAGGCATGAAAGATATATGTATGATTTTAAAATCACATTTCTATACATGAAAACTAAAGTATCTGAGATAAAAAGTAATATTACTAAGTGGGATTAATGGCAAATAGAAATTGCAGATTTAGTGAATTTAAAGACATACTAATAGAAATTTAACTAAAAGAAAAACAGAGTAACCAAAATAATAATGTTTAACAAAATGTCAGTTAACAGTAGGAACATTGTAAGTGGCATGATTTATATGTAATTGCAGTCCCCAAAGTAGAGAAGGGGAAGAGACTGAAAAAATATTTAAAGAAATAATGACTAAAAATTTTCCCAATTTTATCAAACCAATAAATCCACAGATAAATTAATCTCAATGTGCCCCAAACAATTCAACAAACAAACAAACAAACAACAAAAAATGAAAAACAGACTATACCAAGGCACATCAGAATCAAATGGCTTAAACCCAGAGGAAAGAGACACTCTTATAAGCAGTTGGAGAAAAAGGCACATTATAAAAAAAAGAAGAAGAAGAAGAAGAACAGAAATGAGGATAATGAAAAGTGAGAAGATAGTAGAAAAACATATTTAAAGTTATTTAAAAAGCACCTGTCAAAACAGAATTATTCACCCAGCCAAATTTTCTTTCAATAAAAAGGTAGATAAAGACTTTTTAAGATGAAAAATATGTAAGAATTGATCACCATCAGACCCATACTACAAATAAATTTTAAGTAATGTCCTTCAGCTAGAAAGGAAAGTATAGGAGATGAAAATATGTATCTACACAACGTAACGATGATAAACAGAGTTGGTACTATCATGAGTGGCTATATGAGGTTTTTTCTTACTTATTTAACTATCATAAAATTCCCTGAAATATTTAGGTAACCTAGAGAAAGAAAATAAAAAAAGAACTAGAAAAACATAAAAAAAGAGATAATGAAAAATTAAATGGCAGTTAAGCCCTAATTCAGTAATATTGTATTGCATGTAAATTGTTTAGAAACATTAATTAAAACAGAGATTAGCAGACTGCATAAAATAAAAGCAAGGTTCAACTATAAGCTATAAGCAAGAGATTAAATTCAAATCTAATGATGCATATAAGTTGAAAATGAAAAGGTGGGAAAGGATATACTATACAAATATTAAATAAAGGAAAGCAGGGACAGCTATATTAATATCACTTTAAGTACATTTAAGAGCAATGCAATTACAGTTGACCCTTGAACAATATAAAGCTTAGGGGTACCAACCTTGCACAGTCAGAAATCCGCATGTAACTTTTGACTCTCAAAATACTTAGTTTTCTCTCAGTATCTGTAAGTGGTTGGTACCTAGACCTCTGTAGATACTAAAATCTGTGGATGCACAAGTTCCATCTTTTAAATAGCATATATCAATTCATAAATTTGTCCATCCATAGACTTTAAACAGTGGGTCAAAAACAGTACAGGTATTTACTGAAATAAATCCATTTATAAGTGGACCTGCACACTTCTAACCCTTGTTGTTGAAGAGTCAACTGTATAAGAGACAAAGAAGGTCATTATAAAATAAGTGTCAAGCAACCAGAAGACAGAGCAATACTCAGTGTTTTTACACTGAAGAACAGAGCTTCAAAATATATTAAACAAAAGCTGATAGAACTGACAGGTGAAAGAAATATATACAATTACTAGAGGCCCAGTGCATGGAATTTGTGCACTGGTCGGGGCCATGGCCTGCGGGAATCGGCCCGCTGTGGGAGCACTGCTCATCCAGGTCAGCCAGCGGTGCTCCCACTATAAGAGTGCACTGACCACCAGGGTTCAGCTGCTGCATTGAGCATCTGCCCCCTGGCGGTCAGTGTGTGTCATAGTGACTGGTCAACCGGTCTTTCTGGTCATTCCACCGTTCGGTCGCAGGGCTTTTATTATATAAGATAACTAGAGACTTTAATACTTTCTTGCCAATTATTAAAATAAGTAGATAAAAAATAAGCAAGGATATAAAATAATTCAATAACACCATCAATAAATAGGATCTAATCTTCAATTATAGAATATGCCCATCAGCAGTAGCAGTATATACATTGTTTTCAAGCACTTATAGAATACATACCAAAATAAACCTTATTCTGGTCATAAAACAAACCCCAAACAAATTTAAAAGATTTAAAGTGATAGTGCAAGTGATAACAGGAAAAACTCCCAGTACTTGGAAACTAAATACTTTGTAATAATAAATTTTAATAGCGTTCAAAGGAATTCAAGTCATGCCAAGTATATTCTCTGACCTCTGGTATTAAAATAGAAGTCAGTAACAGAAAATAAGGTTAAGATTTCTGGAATATCCCCAAACATATGAAAATCAAATAACACAGCTTTAAACAAAACATAGGTCAAAAAAATCAAATAGGGCATCAGAAAATGTTTCTAACTACATAAAAATGAAAACAAAATATATTACTATTTTGAGCTGTCACCAAAGCAGTAGAGGATAATTTATGACACTAAAATGCTTACATTAGGAAAGAAGAAATGTCTCAATCAACTTTTTAGTGTCTTCCTTAAAAAACAAAATAAAACAAAAAACCTGAAAACTAGTAAGGGAACAAATAAAAGCCAAAGCAACTCGGAGAAACAGTAAAAAGTAGAGCAGAAATAAATAACATAGTAAATAGGAAAACAATACAAAAATCACTAAAACAGCTTTAGACATTTTTGAAACATATTTTCAGAGAATATTGATCTCTAAACTGCATGTTTTCCCTATATTTTCCAAATGTCATCCCTTGTCTTACAGCTTCCAGAGTTCCTGACAAGAAGTCTGTTATATTTTTTGTTGTTCCTTTTTATGTAATGTAATGTTTTGTTTTCCTTCCTCCACCCCTGCCCCTCAAGTTGCTTACCAGATATTTTCGTCATCTTTCTTTATCTGCATTTTCATTACTATGTGTCAACCCTCCCCCACCCCCACCCCCATATATTTCCTACTTGGGATTCTCTAGGTTTCTTGGCTTTGTGATTTATTTTCCATTAATTTTGCAAAATTGTTGGCCACTGTCTCATCATATTAGAGAGAGAGGAAGGGAGAGGAGAGAAACAAACATCCATGTGAGAGCCAAAAATTTATCTACTGCCTTCTGCACGCTCCCTACCGGGATTGAGCCACAACCTGGGCATGTGCCTTGAGTGTCATTGATTGAACCAGCACTCTTCTGGTGCATGGAACGAAGCCCAACCAACTGAGCCACACAGATGAGGGCTCATCAAATTTTCTTTCAACTGATCTTTTTATCCTTCTGGAAGGCTGATTATGGAGAAGATAGGACCATTACATATTATCACAGAGCTCTTGGGTACTCTGGTTTGATTTGTTTATTTTTTATTTTATTCTTTTTTATGTTTTGTCTTGGATAACTTTTGGCAGCAGATCTTCAAATTTGCAGTGGTTTCCTCAGATGTACGCAGTCTGCTCATGAGTTCATCTCAGAAATTCTTTATTTCTGGTATCATATTTCTATAGCTAGCATTTTCTTTTTACTTTTTGTGTAGTTTCTACTTCTTTGCTGAGTATTTCTTTTTTTTAATGCATGTTGCTCACCTTTTCCACTGGATACTTTGTCATATTAATCATAATTATTTTGTAGTGTCTCTCTGGTATGTCCAGATATCCAGCATCTGCATAATCTTTGAATCTAGTTTTATTGATTATTTTTACCTTGAAAATGTCTGTTTCCTTAATTTTTCTTTTTTTATCTTTCTTTATTGGTTAAGGAATTACAAATGTGTCCCCAAGCCCCCCTTAGCCCCCAACTTCCCACCCCCCCCCCACTCATGCTC